CTTAAAGAAATAAGTATAACATATATAGAAGAAGAAGAAAAACACACAAAATACATAAAAATAATATGATATATGAAATTGCCAACATTTAGTCGGTAAAAAATTGAAAAATCTAGAAAATCTAAGGTGTTTCAGTAAGAATTAAAGCGAGGAAGAAATATTCGTTCAATATTGTTAGTTGTAATTCAAATTCAATTTCAGTTACCTTTAATTTGGTTTGCATTTGAATTTTATTTATTTTGGGCTTGTATATAAGTTAAAGTTAGTTAAGCTTGTTACAAAATTTTCTTTTGCGACTCCTTTTCATTTTACTGAAAGCAAAGTTAGTTACAATAGATTCTCTCTCTTCCATCTTCTTCATCTTAAATTATGTGTTCTAATAGTTGGTATCTAGAGCTTCAATCCAGATTTAGGAATGGAAAATATTAATGTATGTGAGGCGTGTTTGATTGATTTCGATTTTGAAAGTCATAGTGAATTTGCATACGAACAAAATGAACGTCGGAAACGGTAGCTTGAACACAAAGCGTCCAGTATTTGATGGAAAGAATTGAAATCAATGGATGATTTATATGTGTGTGTTATTTGGCGTTCAAGATGTTCTTGATCTCGTCAATGACGGTTACACAGCGTTTGCAACAAATACAACTGAAGCACCAAGAAACACGCATAGAGAAACAAGGAAGAAAGATCAAAAGAAGTTGTCTTATATCCATCAGTGTATGGATACGAATGTGCTTGAGAAGATCGATAATTCAACGACAAAGAAGGTTGTGCATGACACATTGGTACAATACTATGGAAGTGATGCATTAGTGAAGAGGGTGAAATTTTAGTTTCTATGTAAGCAGTATGAGAATCTCAACATGAAGAACAACGAGAAGGTACCTAATTACATTTCTAGAGTGATTTTGATCACAAATGAGATTAAGTCTTATAGAGAAACTATCTCTAAACAAGTAATCATTGAAAAGGTACTGAGATCACTTACTCCTTAATTTGATTACATTGTTTTAGCAATTGAACACTCTAAGGACCTCAACACCATGAGAATTGAAGAGTTGTAGAGTATTCTAGAGGCGCAAGAGTTGTGTTTCACTGAGAGAAACTCTAAAAGAGAGGTAGACTATGCTCTGAATGCATCTTTTGATAAGAAGAATCAGAAGCAGTCTTGGTCAGAATTCAAGAAGAAACATGGCGGTAGTTATCAGAAGTCAGAAGCTTCCAACTCTGATGAGAAGAAATATCATAAGGGAAAAGATAAGTTTGACAAGAAGAAGGTTCAATGCTACTGTTGAAAGAAGTTTGAATATTTTGATGTTGTATGTTGGTCAAACAAGGAAAGGAAGTCAGAAGAAGAAAATATAGCTAGAAGAAAGTCTGATGATGAACATATGTTATGCATGAACAGTAAGCAACCTATATTTTCATTTGCATCATAATTGCCTCCAAGAGAAAAACATGTTTTGGGAGTAGTAAATTTTGATGTATGTGTACCATTTGAAGTATCTTTACTTGGAGGAGAAAAGTACTTTGTGTAATTTGTGGACGAGTTCACAAGAATGACATAGATAACACTCATCAAGTTTAAGCATGATGTGTTTGCTGAATTTGAGAAGTTATAGGTGAAAGCTGAAAAATATAGTGGTCAGAAACTAAAACTTCTCAGAACTGATGGTGGATGTGAGTACAACTCATAAGAGTTTAGAAGATTTAGTGAAGAGAATGGAGTTGAACATGAGGTGACTGCTCCATATACTCCATAACACAACTATCTTGTTAAGAAGAAATAATACTTTTCTTGATATGACAAGGAGCATGCTGAAGGAGAAGAAGATCCCTCATACTTTGTGGGGAGAAGATGTTGCCACTGCATCATACGTGCTCAGTAGATGTCCAACCAAGAAGCTGAAGGAAATTGTTCCTTTTGAGAAATGGACTGCAGATAAGCAAAGTGTAATTTATTCCATGGTATTTGGTTCTGTTTAATACGAACATGTTCCAAGTGCTACTATAGAAAAGTTGGATGATAGAAGCAAAGTAATGTTCTAATTGGGTACCACAATACATGTGCTTACTAGCTTTATTGTCTAATCACCAACAAAGTTGAATTTAACATAGATGTTATTATGAAGGAAATAGAAACATGGGATCGGAACAAGTCTCAATCCAACTCTGATGCAGTGTTAACACTTGAGTTAACTTTCGAAGATATTTTAGACTCTAAAGGAGATTCTTCCTCTGAAGATGAGTCAGAGTCTGAAATTGACTCTGATGCTGAAGTAGAGTCTGAAGGCGAGTCTGACTCTGAAGGTGAATCTGATTTTGATGATGATTCAGAATCTAGTGGTAATCATGCCTCTGAAGCTGGTCATGCCTCTGAAGGTGGTTCAGCCTCTGAGGGTAGTTCAACCTCTGAGGGTAGTTTAATATCTGATATTATTCCAGCATCTGAAAAAGATTTTGAACAAGTTCAGAGACCATAAAGAATCAAACAAATATCAAGAAGATTTGCAGAGTTTGACATGTTGCAAGATACTGAGATAGACTCTGAATGGGAATTCATTCAGTGTGTCGTATTGGTAGAATCAGAACCAGTTAGCGCTGAAGAAACTCTCAAAAAGAAAGTGTGGCTGAAATCTATGAAAAAATAACAAAAGGCTATAGAAAGAAACAAGATTTTGGAGTTAGCTGAGCTTCCAAAGAACAAGAAAGCCATCAGCGTGAGATGGATTTACAAGTCGAAAATGAATCCAGATCGATCAATTGAAAAACACAAAGCAAGGTTAGTAGTTAGAGGATTTCTACAAAAATCTGGATCAGATTATTTTGAGGTGTTTGCACCTGTAGCTAGGCATGAAACGATCAGATTGGTGATTTATATAGCTACTAACAAAAATTGGCATTATGATGCATTTATATAAGAAATATGTGTTTCTGAATGATCCTTTACAAGAGGGAGTTTACATGTAACAACCTCAGGAAGGGATGGTGTATAAGTTGCATAAAGCCTTATATGGACTGAAACAAGCTCCTAGAGCTTGGAATCTGAAAATTGATTCATTTTTCAGGCTTCAAAAATTCAGAAAATGTGAGATGGAATATGGTTTTTATGTTTAACATACATTTGATAGCAATGTGATTCTAGTGTGTCTCTATGTTGATGACATATTGCTAATAGGGAGGTTTTCAGATGAGATAGTTAAGTTTAAGAAGGTGCTGATGAATGAGTTTGAGATGACTGATATAGAAAATATGGTATATTTTCTAGGGATAGAGATTATGTACTCTGATAAGGGTATAATTTTCATCAGCTGAAGTATGAACATGAACTTCTAAAGAGATTTGAGTTAATGAATTACAAGTTTACAATCACACCTGCTGAAACAAATCACAAGTTGGATTCTGATGTTGAGGGTGATGATGTAGATGTAATATCTTTTAAATAGTTGGTAGGCTCATTGTGATATCTCTGTAACACCATACCTGACATCTGTTATGCAGTTGGAATGGTGAGTAAGTTTATGAACAAAATAAATTGGTCATATTACCAAGTTGTTGTAAGGATACTAAGGTATATTAAGGGGACTCTAAGGTATGGAGTTTTGTTCCCTTCTGGTGCTAAATCTGATTCAGAGTTGATATTCTATTCAAACTCTAATTTGTGTGAAAACAGAGTTAACAAAAGAAGTACTTCTAGATATTTCTTCAAGTATCTTGGACGATCCATTTCTTGGTGTTCCAAGAAACAACCAGTGATTACATTGTTAACATGTGAAACTGAGTAAATTGTAGATGCTTTGTCTGTCTGTCAAACTGTTTGGATTCTGAATTTATTGCATGATCTAAAGATCAAGGTGGGCAAGCCTGCGAGATTGATGATTGACAAGAAATCAACTATAAGTCTTGCCAAGAATCTAGTGTTGCATGGAATAAGTAAGCATATTGACATAAAATTCCATTTTCTACGCAATTAGATTTAGAATGAAGTCTTGAAGTTATTCATTGTAGCACTTAGGAGCAACTTATAGATGATCTAACCAAAACAATTAAGAGTGAACACTTTATTCATTTGAGAGATGAAATTTGTGTTGCTAATTTTAATTTATTGAATATAAATTAAGGGATAATGTTAGTTGTAATTCAGATTTAATTTCATTTACCTTGAATTGCATTAGTTTGGACTTGTATATAAGCTAAAGTTAATTTAATGAATTTTCTTTTGTAATTCTTTTTCATTTTGAAAGTAAAGTTACTTGCAATAAATTTTCTCTTTTCCATCTCTTCATCTTCAACTTTATTCTCTAACAAATACTAATTTCTAAATTTTGAAACTATAAATATTACATTTTTTAAAATACGAACACGAAAAAAAAATTGTGTTTTGAGTTCTAAAATTTGAATGACATTTTTTTAATATAATTATTATTATTATTTTTGAACGGTATAAAGGATGATAAAAGAAAAGGTTTCATAGTATTAAAGAGTGAATAATTGTAATAGCGGCAATCAGATACAATAGACAATCAAAATCTCACATTTATGTCATTGAATCCATAGGACAGAGAAGAGTACATGTAAATTGTAACATTCATTCACACCAACGTGGGAGATGGAAGCTCCATAGGAGGGTATTGACGGTGGATGAGCCACGATCGTAGCAATTTCTAGAAAACTCAACGTGGCACAATCTTCCACCACACACACATCTAAATCAACGATCCCACACACACTGCTCACTTTTCAATTCTATAAATCACTTCAACACCTCTCTCATACTTTTCACAAACCATGAGCAGAAGTCGTTTTGCCATTGTTGAATGACACAAGACAACAAACATACATTACAATTTCTCAACCACATTGTCTTGTCTCATTCTTAAACTAACTAGGTAGATACCATTTCGTTTCTTCATTTACGTTGTTGTTGTTGTTTTTCTTGTGTAACATTTTTCTGCATTGTTTTTTTAGCAGGATAAAATAGTGGACACTTGTTAGATATGGGAAGAGCTCCTTGTTGTGAGAAAGTTGGATTGAAAAGAGGAAGATGGACTAGTGAAGAAGATGAGATCTTGTCGAAATATATTCAGGCCAATGGAGAAGGTTCTTGGAGGTCATTGCCCAAAAATGCAGGTATCAATTTATTCTAGTTAACTCTTAAAATAAAATAATAACCAATTTTGTCTAAATTGTTTTTGGAGGGGACCAGTTTTAATTAATGTATTTTGTTTTAAAGAATAATTTTTATATAATTCTTTTATAAAATATTTTACAATCAATCATTTGTATTGACTTTTAAATTATATACCATAAAGGCAATTTTTAAAATAATTGAACGATTATGACAATAATTGATATTTTAAAAATTCTTTTCTTTAAGTAAGGAATAATATAAAAAGAATATTAGAAGTATTCTAATTTTTTAATGGAAAAAATTTCTACTATGGAAGAAAAAATCTTAAAGTCGTAAGTTAAAGAATTCTAATAATATATTATTCTCAACATTCTATCTTCAAGTGTGAGTCTGCAATGTTTCTTTTCAATTGAAAAATATATTTGTACCGCCGTGTTATTGGACATTTTGATACACCTCTTCTCTCATGATATCATTTGTTGGAAGAAATTTTTTCAACTAAGATGCATTGAACACTAGAAGACTTTCTTTTTTAGAGTAACATCTTTGTGAGAGACACATCATATATTAATTCAAAACTTTAAAGTGATCGGTATATGAGTTCTCTCATTTATAAATATTCAACTCTCTTCAATTATAATCAATGTGAGACTCAATCTCAAATTTATTATATTATTCTTAAGACAAACAAATTTTCTCATTTTACCAATCACTTCAATACCGACATCTTATTATAAAGCCTTTATATTATATTAGTTTAAGTATTTGTCTAGAAACAATAATATTTTCTTTATATTAGAGTTTGGTTTGATATTTTCTTTAAAATTATTTTGGATTTGAAGGATTATTAAGATGTGGAAAGAGTTGCCGACTAAGATGGATTAACTATTTGAGAACTGATCTAAAAAGAGGAAACATTTCTGCTGAAGAAGAGGATACTATAGTAAAGCTGCACACTACTTATGGCAACAGGTTAGTGAAAGTTTTAAATATAGATGGAAATAAAAAAGACTTTAAATTTAACACTTTTATTCAGGATTATTTTTGTCCACGTAACTTCAACCTATGTCTTTCTTTATACTAATAATGTAGATAGAGACAACTATCTATAATATCTGTCTTTTACATAAAGACTATAGTACTTCATTAATGTGTTAATATTGATTAGTTAAATGACAAAGTAAGATCATAATCAATACTCATAAAATACATAACACATGTATGTTGCTAATTAGTGTTTCAGACTTATTCTTTAAAAAATTTCAAATAAAAAGTAAATTTTATTGAAAAATTAATCATTTCAATTTTCAAATATATTAAATATATTTTTAAAAAATGAGTTTTAAAATCTTCTCTAAAATACTCGTTAGTATTTTTTTTAAATATTATATTACGAATATAATTGATACGTTTTTTCAGAAAATAAATATAATATGAGAATAATAATTACATGCAACAACCTCTAATAAATTGAGTTAACTACTACTACAAGTGGCTTTCTTTTCAATACAGAACTATCATTCTTGTTAGTATCACACGTAGAAAAAATAATAACTCAAATAAAATAAAAATAATAACTACTCATCAACCCCACCCGTCATATGCTTACAAATACCAATTTGGAATGTGAGATATATATCTTTACTCATTGGATATTCGTATGTACTATGATATATGAAAATTAATTATCTGAATATAAGGAATTTTTTTAATTTTTATATTTTGGTTTTGTCCTTTTCTAGAATTATGTTGTTAGTTCTTACTCGTGACAACTTGTCTTGGTTCCAAGAAAACTGGAATATATATATATATATATATATATATATATATATATATATATATATATATATATATATATATATATATATATATATATATATATATATATATATATATATATATATATATATATATATATATATATATATATATATATATATATATATATATATATATATATATATATATATATATATATATATATATATATATATAATTTTAACTGGTAACTTTTTGTGAGTTTTTTTCTTCTAAAAGTATCAATAAAAGTCAACGGTTATGATGAGTGTACGCCAAATGATATGTAAGGTGCATCACAAATATACAGAATGCGACAGTATGCATAGAATGTCGACGAAAAAAAGTAGGACATGTGGAAGGGGAAAAGATTATAAAAAAAATAGCTTAATTTTTTTTTTGTAATATGCTGTAAGTGTAACGAATTTTACCTACATTTATTTGTGTGTGATTTAAAAGGAAATTTAAAGTTAAATTATGTTAGTAATGATCTTGAATTTATCATCAGTTGATTTAGAAGTATACAAATCAATTAATAAGAACAAAATATAAAATAAAATAAAATTGAGGAGGAAAAACAAATAAAGGAGATAAAATTGATGGAGCACCGTAAAATTTGCCCCCGTATTTCTTGGGCATCAAAAAACATTATAATAATTATTATAACTCCCACATGTCTAAGAATTTGGTGAAGCATTAAATGAGACAACAGCTAGTACTACGTACACAATTGATTAGATTTCACCCATAAAAAAACAAAAACAACTCATATCGGTTTGTTTAACTGCTGTTATTGATTTAAAATTTAAATAGACCTAGATAAATTAATTTTGAAAATTTTATTATTATTAAAATTTAATTGATTGTAAAATAATTTAAAGTGAGTTTTTTTTTAAATATTAATTTATTAATTTATAAATATAAACAAATTGCTAATGTTTCTGAATATCACTATAGTGAGTTGTCTCCAATAATTTAGTTTGCCATGAAAGGCAGGGAATAATAATAATACTACTATATTGCATAGAAATTATAATGATGATTTAAATTTTATGAGTTTTGTTCGATTTTCAGGTGGTCCATGATTGCCAGCCATTTGCCGGGAAGAACAGACAACGAAATTAAAAACCATTGGAATTCCCATTTGAGCAGAAAAATTTACCGTTTCTCCAAAATATCGGCAACTACAGAGACAAAGACCATTGAAATTCCTTTACCAAAACGGAAATGTGGTAGAACAAGTCGTTGGGCCATGAAGAAAAACAAGTTCTACAAAAAACAAATCATCACTAACAGTAGTACTATTATTCAACCTGATATTAAAGAAAAACCAGTTCATGAATTACGTGACGTGGAAGGTAATACGACACATGAGCAAGAGAAAGAAAAAACAACAACAACGTATGAATTATGTGACGACATCTTAGGACTGAGTGAATTATTAGACGACATTAATGAAGTCAGTGGGGCGTTGTGCATGGAAAATTGCTTGCTGGAACCATGTGGGTCTGTTACGAATTTAAGTGAAGAGAGAGAAACAATGGAGGAAAGTGGAAGAGCAATGAATGATGATGGTGATGTTTGTATTAATTATAAACAGGCTTCATGTGAGGAACCTGAGAGTAGTGTGAATTACCAAGGTTCGAATAATGGGGAGAGTGGTGAATGGAATTGGGAGAGTGTGATGAAGTTTAATATTGAGGAGGAGGATGAGAGTAGTAGGGAGCATAAAGTGAATCTTTTGAATTGGTTGTGTGAAGATGATGATTGGGAAGGTGATAGTAAGATGTTGGGAGAGATAGATTCTCAGAAGCAAAATGATTTGATTGCTTGGTTTCTTTCTTGAAACAAAAAACAGACAAGAGTGTTTTTCATGTGTGTGTTTGTTTTGGTTATGAGTCTTGTGATTGGTTTTTTTTTTTAGTCTAGGTTTGTGACAAATTTGTTATTGTAGAACAAATAATGATTCTTGATCAGTACAAAAATAATAAAAATGAGTTGTGACTTTTTTGGATTATTTAAACTGTGGACTCATAGTAATTGCAATAGTTCAATTTTGTTAAGCATTGTTGACTTGAGTGGCTGGTTAGAAGATGTGTAAATGTGGGGTTGAAGCCTTGTGGGTATGGGGTTGAAGCCTTGTGGGTATGGGGCCGAAGCTTAATATAGCTAGTTGTTATGGATGGTTTGTTGTTTATGGGTGGTTGAACTTTCATGGTGTTTTTCATAATTATGGGACTTGAAATTTCATGCAAAATTACGATTTTGTTAGGGGTAAATGCATGAGAAAAATGAAACATTTGGTATGAATAGATCAAGTTTGGTTGAGTTTAATATTTGATATGCATGAGAAAAATGAAACATATGGTATGGATGGATCAAGTTTGGTTGAGTTTAATATTTGATAGAGCTAAGCGAAATTGTCAACTTGTTCAACATTGTTTGTCAAAATTAGAAGAATTGTAGAATTGTTTGTTAAAATTATAATTGTGATGAGGATAGAAACCATATTTTTTGTAATTGTCCAATCATTCGAATGGTTTGGTCCAAATTAGCACTTTGGATGGGAATTGATTGGGAGGAGGTGGATAATATATGTGATCATTTTTTCCTTAAATTTATGAAAACAATGAGGATAACGTCCAAGACATCGGCGAGGTTTATATGGATCGTAGCATGTTGAACTTTTTGATGGATAAGCAATCAAGTGAACTTTAGCGAGATAATTGCAAGTCAAGAAGACATTGCCTTAAGAGTGATGGTAAATTCTTGGAGGTGATTACAATGTAACAATGATAAAATCCAATGTAAATTTTATGATTGGTACAAGTCTCCCCTAGACTTTCTAATGTAATGTTTACATATCCTTGTAGGTGTTTTTGTGGGAGTTTAATTTAATGTTGGAGTTGTGAATATTGAGGTTTTAAGGATTAGTGTACTCATTTATACACCTCATATAGTGAAAATTATAGCTTATAAAAAAAATTGTTCGTCAAAATTATAATTAAAAAAAACAAATTACACATCAACACATAATATAATAACCCCTACTTAATATGGGGATTAATAGAAATCTCCCGATTGCAATCAATGGACTCATGAATAATAAGAGAGAAAGTCTACCTTCTCTCTAGGTTTCCATTTTGTTAGTTTCTCATTTCGTTCTTATTGATTACAAATTCAATCATAAATTTCAGAATGCATCAAAGATTAACTAGCTAGTGAAGATGAGCAAGGATGGAGGAGAGTGAATAACAGGAAAAGAGTTAGCAAAAGATTGAATCCATGGGATAACTTCAGCAGTACACGTTCATCAAGAGAATTAAAAAATACGACCACGTGTTTTTTCTTCACTTCCTTTCCTGATGAATTCAAAGATAGGGACTTGTATGAGGGGTTTCGAAGACATTGACGAGTTTGTTATCCCTTCAAAAATGGATATTTGAGGTCAAAGATATGCATTTGTAAGATTTTTTTTAGGCAAGAATGCAAGGTTGTTGGCAACCAAGTTATACAAAATATTTCTTGTGAACATAAAGTTATTTGTTAATCTTCTAAGATTTGACAAAAATAAAATGTTTTCAGCTCACATGGAGCTTAATAGAAGAGGGGCAGAGAAATAACGCAAAGTTCAATTCAGTGCAAGAGACGACTTTAAAGAAAAAGGCAGCGCCATAGGCGAAAGAAGGTTTGGAGAAAAGATATGAGAGAGTTCGTATGCAAATGCTGTTGAGAACAAGGTCCCTAAACCTAATCGCATGTGCCACAATGAAGATTCAGAAGATCGCAAGTGCAAAGAAAGTCAACTTACTCACTTGGTTTATCCACTACTATGAAAAGCGTTTTTTTCTCGGACGCGAAAATTATATTACCTCGGCTATAGAAGCGAGGTAACGAAGGGCGGCATGAAAATTCACCACATATCACCTGGTGGTATTAAACCTGAGAAGTAAAGTTAAATGTACATGGGTTCGAACCTCATCATCAACACTTTTATTATTTTTAAAACTAGCTTATCTTTCATCTCGGTTTATTTTTAAAACCGAGGGGTAAGATTATTTCTTTTTTTATTAAAAAATTATTATATTGTATATCCAGAATATTACATTGTTTAAAATATAAGTCAAATTCTCTTGAAAACAAGGTAAAATCAAATTTCCTGAAGATCTAGACTTTAGATCTTCGAATTATTCAATCTTGGGGAAGATCAAATGTTGGGTGCAAGGTTTGTCTCTTCGGATCTTGCATGCATTTAATTCTGAAGCAAAAAAAAAGGGTTAGATAAATAAAATCAATATTCAAATATATGATTTTGTGCTCAAATAAATATTTAAGAAAACAAACCTTAAACCTAAGTAATTTTATACTCTTACAATCCATCTTACAGAAATATTCGAAATGTTTTTATGTTTCAAGCGCTTCATGTTCCATATATGTTAGATTATCAATATTTAGCAAGCTTTTATAACATATGTATTTTAGGTTTCACGCGGATCACTAATGATTAACTATCCTCTCTGCCAAGAAAAAAATCGAGGTGAATAAGTTTTTTTTTAAATACATTATAAAATATGTTTCTCAATGGAAAATTTTATTTTACATGTTCATGTCCTATGCAAGATGGTAGAGATTTGTTTCTCAATGAGAATTTTTATTTTTTGCACTTGCAATCCATCCCAGAGATCTGAAGTAGCAACTCATGATAGAAATGGACGGTAGTAAAATATGATTATTTTCTGCACTTGCAATCCATCCTGAGGTGTTTTATTAACTATCGCCTTGGTTTTTTCAAAAATCGAGGTGACTATTTCATTTTTTTAAATACATTGTCAACACAAAATATTTATAAAAAAAACATTGTTAACAATAAATCTTCGGTGATATCTAGATTTTGTTGGATACCCATTAAAACAAATATATTTGAAACAATAATGATTTTCTGCACTTGCAATATATCAACTTAGTTGTTTTTCAAAGGTTGAGCTCCATTCATTGATTAACTTGAAGTAAGAATGATTTTCTGAACCTATAATCTATCAACTGAGTACCCTTCAAAAAATACAACAACGACAATATCAACACCATTATATGAGATAGATTGCAAGAGTATAAAAAATATTTTGTTCAAGATAGAAGAACATTAAAGATTTTTTGTCTTGCAGTCCATCCCAATGAATGATGCTTGGGGCGGCTTTATATTAGTAAGAATTAGGGTAAAATATGTTTAACAAGTGCTTTTATAGTAAAATATTATTATTATATGCCTCAGTTAAATAGAAAATCGAAGGGTTAGAATATTTTGGTAACACTTATAAAGAAATAAAATCATAAATTGCGACAACTGGAAATTGAAGCTTGTACTGAGTTATTTTTTCACCTCGATTTTATTAAAAACCGATGGAACTTATGTTTTTTTAATAATAAAAAATAGTGCGTCTTGTCTTTATACCTCATTTTTCTATTGTTCGAGGTGAAAGATTCGTCATAAAAAGCGTTATTTTTTGTAGTGATCACAATATCTTTTCACTTAATCATTTTGTCCTTATAAGTCTTGGGCTTGAGAGATTTTTTAGTGATATATCAGTAATGACACAAGTCCACTTAGCACTAGTTAAATTCGACCCTTTAAAACTATAGCTAGTTAAAGCCCTAAGAGAGTACTCAAAATAACATGGATGAGTTCAAATGATATCTGTAACAACCCGATTTTTAATAACTGATTAATTATACTAGTTAGTTGGTTTGTATGGTTTAAAGTGAATTATTGGATTTAACTGATTTATTCTATTTGGTGGAATCATGAGGATTTATCAGATGTTTTCTAACCAATGTCAAAATGAGATATTTTATGAAGAAATAAATTGACAAATATTTTAAGAGAAGAAATATAATTTGACAGAAATAGGAAGGCAGGATATATATATATATATATATATATATATATATATATATATATATATATATATATATATATATATATATATATATATATATATATATATATATATATATATATATATATATATGGGAAGAAGAGGAACGACAATATATAATAGAAAATATGAAAAGAAAGTGGAGGAAGAAGAGAAAGTAGAAGGAAAAAGAAGGAAAAGCTCGGAAAAGCTCAAGAACGACTTCTAGCTTCCGATTAATCGAGGTAAGGGTGTGAAATCTTACTATCTTAATCAATGCGTATGATTATGCATGTGTGTGTTTGGATTTGTTGGGGGTTTCCTACATTTTTCCATTTTTAGGTCGAAAGTGGATTTAATCGGTAGAAACTGAGTTTTATCGGTTAGAAATTGGAATAGGCGGTGTAGTATAGCCAGGTGATGAGTGGGTTGTGTTACTGTGGCTGATTTGGATTAAATCGGTTGGTTTTGTGAGGTTTGGGCTTTTGAGCAGCCATGGAAGTTCTGATCTCGCAGGTTCGCCAGGCGAATGGCAGCGAGGCAAAGCGAACGGTAGCGAACCAAGTCAGAACCAAACACCCTGTCTTCGCTGGCAAGTTCTCCAGGCGAATGAGTGTGGCGAAGGTTCGCCAGGAGAGTATGCTAGCGAGTGCTAGCGAGTAATTCCAGAATAAATCCCAGTGGTCTTCGCTGGCAAGTTCGCCAGGCGAACGGGTAGCGAAGGTTCTCCAGGGACTTCGCCAGGCGAAGGTTAGCGAACACAGCAGTATATTTTCTTTTCTTGTGCTTTCCATTCGTGGATTGATTGTGTGGTTGGGTTGCGATCATTCCTTGTCTGAGATGACTAACTACATGCTGTTTTGTGTGTTGTGGGTAGCCGTATGGCGTGAATCCTAGATTATGAATATCTGGCCTTTTGGCATATGTGATGCAT